GGGCACATCACCTGGTATCAAACTTACTCTATACTGGCACATCACCTGGTACCAAGCTTACTCTGTACGGGCACATCACCTGGTAAAAAACTTACTCTGTACGGGCACATCACCTGGTACCAAACTTACTCTGTACGGGCACATCACCTGGTACCAAACTTACTCTATATGGGCACATCACCTGGTACCAAACTTACTCTATACGGACACATCACCTGGTACCAAGCTTACTCTATACGGGCACATCACCTGATACCAAAACCACACAAAGGCATTAGTACGAAGGAAAATTATAGACCAGTATCTCTCATGAGCACAAATGCAAAAATCTTCATGAAAATTGTAGTAAATTGAATATTTTCTTTTAAAAGAAAAAAATTGTATGCCACTACCAAAGACGATTTACTGTGGCTGTGCAAACCGGCTCAACATTCAAAATTCAAGAATTATAGTTCACCATAAGAATGGGCTAAAGATTAAAAATTATATGATCATATCACTAGGAGCAGGGAAAGCATTTAACAAAATCCAACATCCCTTCATGATGAAAACTCTCAGCAGACTAAGAATAAAGGGGAACTTCCACATCTTTATAATGAGTATCTTTTTAAAAAAATTATCTATGTGAGATCTAGTGGCAATGACAACACAGAAGGTTGAATGGGAAACTTAGGGAGCAGCGGGTTTAAGATGGTGATGGAATAATTTGTATAGCCAGAACAGTAGCACAGCTTGAAGAATGTAGCCACTATCATTGAACTGTAAGTGTAGATATAGTTGAAATGTTGTATTTTTGACAGTACATACTTTCACACAAAAATTAAGCAACATACTAATGATGAAAAACTAACTACTCTACCTCTACTCTTAGGAACCCTTGCACCACTCCTGTTCAGTATCATGGTTGGAAATCCAGCTAAGTTAGACAAGAAAAAGATATAAAAGTGATAATAAGCTGGAAGAAATAAACTAATGCCTTTGTCCACAGATGATATAATTGTCTATAAAGAAAACCCCAAAGAATCAACCACAACAAAGAACCCCAGAAGTACTATTTAGTTATAGTAATGTTGTAGGTACCAGTTAATATAAAAAAGACAATTGCTTAAGAAAAAAAAAAAGGCCATTGCTTCCCTATATTCCATTAGAATTTGAATGATTGGAATTTGAAATTTAAAGCACACATCATTTGCATGAGCACCACCCGCAAATTTAAACAAAATTTAAACAAATACTAAAATCGAACGCAAGCCTTTAAGTTGATACTGACCGATAGCAACACCTATAGGGTCGAGAACTACCCCACAGGTTTTCCGAGGCTAAAAATCTTTATAAAAGCAGACCACCCGCTTTTTCCCTAGGAAGCAGCTGAGGGGTCGAAACCATAGACTTTTCCTTTGGCAGTCAAGCGCTTAACCTCTTGTGCCACCAGAGCTCATACCATTTAAATATTTAGGAATAAATCTAACAAAGTGCATGTACAAAACATATCAGGAAAGCCACGTAACTCTGATGAATAAAACCAAAAAAGATATAAATAAGCAGAGTTATCCCACATTCATGAATAGGAAGAGTTAATATTATCCACATGCTCTAGCGATTCAATGCAATTCCAACAAAATCCCAGCAAGTTATTTTGGGGATATCGACGAAACGCTGTTAGAATTTGTTTCCGAAAGCAAAAGATTCAAGAAAGGAAACACAATACTAAAAAATGGGCCAAGTCAGAAGATGGGCACTCCCTGACCTCAAAACTTGTTGCAAAGCTACAGTGACCACTACAGTGTGGTACTGGCGAAGGAGCCAGCAAACAGATTAATGGAACATAGTATTTCAGCCTGACGAGACCCACACAAATAGTTAACTGCTGTTTATTAAATGAGAAAAGGCAATTCAAAGAAGAAAACCTTTTCAACAAATGGTACTAGAACTGGACATGCACAGAAATAGTAATCATCTAGACACAAACCATCAGCCTTCTGCAAAATTAATTGATAATGGACCACCCGGCCTAAATGTTAAATGAAAAAAACTGCATGATTCATTGCAAAATAACAGGAGAAAATACTCTATCTTCAAAATTGAGTTTCAGGGGGGTCAGAGCAGAGACCCAAAGCCCATCTGTAGACAGTGGAACATCCCCCCACAGAGGGGTCACAGGGAAGGGATGAGTCAACCAGGGTGCAGTGAAGCATCACTGAAACACACAATATTCCTCTGGTTCCTTGAGGCTTCCTCACCCCCCACATCATGACCCCAGTGTTGCTTCTCATCTGTACGGGACCAGAGCATATACATAGGTATAGGTAAGAGGTAGGAGCTCACGACACACGGAATCCAGGAAGAGGATTGGGAATAGCGAAACCAGAAAGGTAGGGGAAGAGGGGAACCGATCGCAGTGATCGACACATAACCACACACACCCCTCCAGGGGGAAGAACAACAGAAACCATTGGGGAAAGAGAGATAGAAGTTGGTGTGAGTGAGATGTAAAAGATAATAATACTTTAGACTCTATCAAGGGGTCACGAGGCAGGGGGGGAGGGAAAAAGTTGGAGCTGATGCCAAGGGCTCAATAGAAAGTAACTGTCTAGAAAAGAAGGGTACCAAGAAACAAACAAACACAAAAATTTTAAAAAATAAAAATTTTAAAAAGGATACCAGACATATGTTCAAATGTGCCCGATAGAACTGATGTGTGCATTGTAATGGGAGTTGTAAGAGTTGTAAGAGCCCCCAATTAAATGATCTTTTCATTTTTAAAAATTGAGTTTTTAAATACCAAAATCATGACTCATTCACAATAGTAAAAAGATCACTGGTTTCCACAGATCGGGGAAGGTGGCATGTGAGTGGCGAGCAGAATCTGAAGCTCTGCCAGGGCACTGTTAGACAGTGAAACCACTCCGCATGGTGCTCTTAACAGGGTGCACGTGACCTATGCCTAGGTCAAAACCCACAGAACCGTACAATACAAAGAATGGACCCTAATGTAAATGATGGCTTTAATTAGTAACAATGTATTGGGTTTTTGTTGTTTGGGTTGTTTTTTTTTTAATTAATCATTTTACTGGGGGCTCTTACAGCTCTTATAACAATCCATACATCAATTGTATCAAGCACAGGTGTACATATGTTGCCTTCATCATTTTCAAAACATTTTCTTTCAGCTTGAGCCCTCCTTTTTTCCTTCCCTCCTCCACCTTCCCACCCTCATGGCCCCCTGATAAATTATAAACTATTATTATTTTCATATCTTACACCGCCCACTGTCTCTCTTCGTCCACATTATTGTTGTCGACCCCCTGGGGACGGGGGTGGGGTGGGGTGGGGGGTGGGGGTGAATTGTGCCTTACCATTTCTCCCCCTTCTCCCCTGACCTTCCCCCTACCCTCATGGTATTGCTACTCCCATTGCTGTTCCTGAGGGGTCTGTCCTGGATTCCGTGTGTAAGAGGTCCTATCTGTACCAGTGTACATGCTCCGGTCTAGTGGGATTTGTAAGGTAGAACTGGGGCCATGACAGTGGAGGGGAGGTAGCATTAAAGAACTAGAGGAATGTTGTGTGTTTTGTTGGTGCTGTGCTGCACCCTGGCTGTCTTGTTCTTTCCTTGTGACCCTTCTGTGAGGGAATGTCCAATTATCTACAGACAGGCTTTGGGTCTCCACTCTGAGCCCCATCATTTGTATTGATATATTTGTTTGTTTGAGGTCTTCTGATGGATGCCTAATAGCTTGTCCCGTCGACACCTTGTGATCACACAGGCTTGTTTGCTTCTTCCAGAACGTATTGTTATTAATAACAAAGTACTGGTTCATCAAGTGTGACAAATGCACCACATTGATGCTATGGAAGGGATAGATGGGAACCCTGAAATTACCATGACATTCCTCTACAAATTTAAACCTGTTCTAAACACTAAAGCTTGCTTTAAATCCCTAAGACTACACACTCACAAATGACTATGTGTCGCAATGGTAAAATATGAAAAAGTTTGATGAATGGTGTCAATGTCCATTTCCAGTTTGTAATATTGTACCATAGTTAGGTCAGATGTCACCCTTGGGGGAAATGGGTGAAAAGAATACAGGATCAGTCTATGGTATTTCCAACAACTGCATGTGAGCCTACAATTATCTCAAAATTAAAAGTTTTGTTTTAGTGAAGCTTCAACTGTATTTTGGCAATGTTTTATTTCTTGAGCAGTTGGTCCTTTCTGTACATTACCAATATTTAAGCATAAACATTTTCAAAGACAGAAAGAGGAGAAATTCTCTCTGTGTATATGGAGATGTACACAGCATATACACAATCTGGAATACCTGAACAGAACTGCAGGCTATAGAAGTGGGTGAGGAACAGTTCTTAATGCCCTTATTTACTAATTCAGTAATCTGAACTTCATCCTGAAAGCTTTGGGAGAACGACTGAAAGATTTTAAAGTCGAGGACTGACACGATCGGATCAGTCACAGCCACAAGGGACAACTCACTGATCTCAAATGATACATATTTCCTGTACTAAGTCTAGTCTGGGTTCCCTGTTGCGTCTTTCAAAACTCACTGCCATTGAGTCCAATTCTGACTCAAAGTGACCCTGTAGGGCAGAGACAACTGCCCCTGTGGGTTGCCGAGATTGTAGCTCTTTACAGATTAGATAGCCTCCTCTTTCTCCCATGGAGCAGCTGGTGGGTTAGAACTGCTGGATAGCAGCCCACCGTGTAACCCACAACACCACAAGGATGCCTTTGAGTCCCTCAAGTACCAGGCAAAATAGTACCTCTTCTCTGTTTTCTGTACCTTCCCCACGTTTTTACTTTTCTACTCCTTCTTGATTGTGACCCCACTCTGTTTTCACTTGTGTATCTTTAGCACAGCATGCACCTATAGTAAATGTTCAAAGATGTTTATTGCGAGGATAAATATATAACTGTTAGATGTACACACACAATCCATTTGAGTGGCTACAGCCATAAGGTCTGGTGTAGAAGGATGCACTCACAAAGTATGAAGGCACTCAATTACCCTCTTACCTTCTTATGAACTTCAGGTTACCCTTCAAAATAGCTAAAGTATCAGTATTTTGGAGAAGGTCGAAGACACAAAAATCTTGTTTTTTTAAACCTTTGAAAATTATACAATCATAAGAGGAAAAGGCACAACTCTTAATTTGACTAAGAAAAGTGAAGGCAAATCACTGTGGTTCATGTTATTTTGTCTTACCAATATAGAAGTAAGGGTTTTAAAACCTCAGGCTGGATGTTTTTCAAATGTTCTTCATTCCATTGCATTCCATCTAGCAGTTTCAGTTTTGATAAGATTTCTAGAGAAAGGTAAAAATCTCCACTGCTCACTAGATAGCATTTTTTCATTGTCTCAAGATGCCTGAAATAAAACATATGCATCTATCTACATATCATGATAACTAACCAAATGTTATTGTTTATATAATACTTCACACAAGTCATGAACTCTCTCAAAACCAACAGTGGCAAAAGTATTTCTCATAGTTCCTGGAATGGGAAGGTTGTTTGTGGTCTGAATTACACCCTCACAAAAATGTCCACGTCCTAATCCCCAGAACCTGTGAATACATTACCTTACATGGCAAAAAGGACTCAGCAGATGAGATTCAGGTAAGGATTTTGAGACGGGGAGATTATCCTGGATTATTTGGGGCCATCTAATGTAATCATCAGGGTCCTAAGAGGGAGGCAGGTAGGTCAGTCAGAATGAGACTAGAACAGAATCAGGAGTCAGAGAAGAGGGAAAACCTTGCACTGCTAGCTTTGAATGAAGGGTCCACAAGCCAAGGAAAGCAGGTGGCCTCCAGAAGCCCCAAAGGGGCAAAGAAATAGATAATCTCCTACAATCTCCTGAAAGAAGACCCTCTGCATACCCATTTTAGACTTCTGACTTCCAGATCTATGAGAGAACAAAACTGTGTTGCTTGAAGCATTGCGTTTGTGGTAATTTGTCACATCAAAAGCAGGAACCAATTCAGTATATTTATTTTGAAGAACTTATAGAGGTTGTTTGTTTTTACTGTCTCAAACATGTCTTGAAAAATGGTAGTGGTCTTCCAACCCCTGATGAGTCAGCTTCTGCTTCAGGTTATTGTTGTTGTTAAGGGCCATTAAGTGAGTTCCAACTCACGGCCACCCTATGAAAACAGAGCAAAACACCACTGATCCAGTGCCGTCCTCACCAGCGTTCCTATGATTCAGTCCATTGTTGCAGCCACTGTGTCAACCTATCTGGTGAAAGGGCCTTCCTCTTTTGCACAGGCCTCTACTTAACCAAGCATGATGTCCTTCTCCAGGGACTGGTCTCTCCTGACAATATGTCTAAAGTATGTGAGACATCGTTTCCTCTAAGACAGATTTGTTTGTTCTTTTGGTAGTCCATGGTAGTTTCAATGATCTTTGCCAGTGTCAAAATTCAAATTATTCTTCTTTAGCCTTCCTTATTCAATGTCCAACTTTCACATGTAGATGAAGTGACTGAAAATACGGTGACTTGAATAAGGTGAACCTTAGTAATATCCTTGCTGTTCAACACTCTAAAGAGGTCTTGTGCAACAGATTTACCTAAAGCAACTCAACTTTTCCTCTTTTGACTGCTGCTTCCATGAGCGTTGATTGTGGATCCAAGCAAGACAAAATCCTTGACCACTTCAACCTTTTCTTCATTTATCATGACATTATCGGTCCAGTGAGGATTGGGGTCTTCTTTACATTGAGTTATAATCTACACTGAAGGCTGCAATCATGGAACTTCATCTGCAAGTGCTTTAAGACCTCCTCACTTTCAGCAAGCAAAGTTGTGCCATTTGCATAGTGCAGATTGTCAAAAACCCTTCCTCCAATCCTGAAGCCACATTCTTCTTCATATAATTCAGCTTCTGATTATTTGCTCTGCATACACTTTGAATAATGATGGTGAGAGAATAGAGCCCTGACCTACCTTTCTTTATTTTAAACTAGGAGTATTCCCTTGTTCTGTTCACACAGCAGCATATGGATCCACATACAGGTCTGCGTAAGCACAAAGTAGTATTCTATAATTCCCATTCTTCTCAAGAATATCCATAGTTTGTTATGATTCACATGAACAAATGCCTTGGCATAGTCAATGAAATACAAGTAAATGTCTTTCTAGCATTCTCCCCTCTGAGCCAAGTTCCATCTGACATCAGCAAAGGCATTCCTTCTTCCATGTCCTCTTCTGAAACCGCCTGTACCTCTGGCAGCTCCCTGTCAATGGACTGCTGTAACCGGCGTTGCATGATCTTCAGCAAAATTTTATGTGCGTGTGGTAGTCATGATATTGTTCTATAATTTGTACATTTTGATGGCTCACCTTTTTCTGGAATGGGCACAAATGTGGATCTGTTCCAGTCAGTTGGTCAAGTGGCTGTCGTCCCAATTTCTTGGTATAGATGAGTACTTCCAGTGCTTCACCCGCTTGTTGAAACGTTTCCATTGGTATTCTATCAATTCCTGGAGCCCTGGTCTTAGCTAATGCTTTCAGTGCGGTTTGAACTTCTTTCTTCAGCACCACTGGTTCTTGCTTATGCTGCCTCATAAAATGGTGAAATGGTGACTCGTTCATTTTGGCAGAGAGCCTCTGCATATTCTTTCCATCTTCTTTGGATGCTTTCTGCATCATTCAATGTTTTTGCCCAGAGAATCTTTCAATATTGCAATGCAAAGTTTCCATTTTTTCCTTGAGTTCTGTCCATTTAAGATATACTAAGCATGTTCTTCCTTGTTGGCTTTCAAACTCCAGGTCTTTTCACATTTCGTTCAAATATTTGACTTTGTCTTCTCAAGCTGCCCTTTGAAACGTTCTGCTCAGCTCTTTGATGTCATCATTTCTCCCACGTGCTTGAGGTACTCGACAAATAAGAGCACGTTTCAGAATCTCTTCTGACAGCCACTTTATTCTTTCCTTTCCTTTTAATGCCTTTTATGCTTCCTTTAAGGCTTTCTTCGTGAATGATGCTCTTGATGTCCTCCCATAACTCATCAGAGCTTCAGCCATTAGTGTTCAATGATCAGATCTGTTCTTGAGATGTTCTCGAAATTCAGGTGGGGTAGACTCAGGATCATAGTTTGGCTCCTGTGGACTTGTATTCATTTCCTTCAGCTCAACCTGAAGTTTCTTATGAACAATTGATGGCCTGTTCCACAGTCAACCCCTGGCCTAGTTTTAGCTGCTGATATTGAGCTTCTCCATCTTCTCATCCTACAGATGGTCAGTTTGATTGTGTGTATTCTAACTAGAGAAATCTATGTGTATAATCGCCTTTTGTGTTGGTGAAAAAAAGGTATTTTCTATGAACAAGCAATTGCTCTTACAAAATTTTATCATATGACATCCAGCTTCATTTCTATCACCAAGACCATATTTTCCAACCATTGTTCCTTCATTTGCATTCTAATCACCAGTAATTATCCATGCATCTTGACGGCATGTTTGATCAATTTCAGACTGAAGACATTGGGAGAATTTTTCAATTTCTTCCTCCTAGTTTTGGTGTTTGGGAAGTAAATTTGATAAATAGTTGAATTGATCTGATTTCCTTGATGAGGGATATATAGAATCCTATCAGAGACAGCATTCTACTTCAAGACAGATGGCAAAATGTCCTATTTGACAGTGAGTGCCATGCAGTGCTTTGGGCTGTGTCATTCCCATTCTGTGTCATTCCCCTTCTGATTGAGAATGGCCAAAAGCAGTCCACTGCAGCTTACTGGCACCTGGGACAGGGATCTTTATTCGTTCCAGTTCATCTCTGACAACTTCCATTTTCTCTGGATTTGTACTTTGTACATTCCAAGTTCAAATTACTAGTCTTGCATCTTTTTCTTCTCACCTTGAATGGTGTCCCATCGGCAAATGAAGGTTCAGAAGGCTTTGTTCTTACAGGCTTTACTTCATTCATGTTAGGATGGGCAACTTCACTGTGAGAAGGCACTCTTCCTCAGTCGTTTTTTGAATGCCTCTGATCTTGAGGAGCTCATCACCTGGCAGCATATCTAAGAAGGTTCTGCTTGTGTTCAATGGGTCTTCAGGGTCTGACAATGTTTTGATTCTCTGCATAAGGGTTTCAGGGTTTAATTCCTCCAAAGTGGACAGTTGATTCTTTCTTCAGAGTCTGTTCTTAGCCTGGATGCTCTTGTTCACTTTGGTTGACCCTGCTGGTCTTGGAAATACCAGTGACACAGCTTCCAGCAACACACAAGGCTCCACAGTACAACACACGGACGGGCAAGTGGAAACTTCATAGTCAACCACTTGGTGATTCGTGCTCTTCTAATGCTGTTCAACAGTAAATTCTATGTTCTGAAGGCCATTAAAAAAACTGCACTGGTATTTTTTTCTGGAATGCTATAACATTAAAATAGAACAATGAACTTGAGGGTGGTTTTAGAAATTGGGGCCGAGGAACAGGTGCTACTATTAGTATCTGAAATCTACTGAATCAGAAAACTAGTGAAATGAATACTGTCAAATAAAACCCATTTTATTATTCACTCCTCGGAAACTATACATTACATTGGTTTTTAGACTAATTTATTTCAGACCTTCTTCCTGTGCTAAAATAACCCAGAATAATATTATGGGATTTGTTTTTTGACTTACTGAAAAGTGAAAGTACCTTTGATGTCTTTCAGCATCCTTAAGAACCTTTAACCTCTCAATATCCATCCACAGCCACCAAAACCTCTCCCCTAAGGTCCCTTTTATAAATTTCTTAAATCTTTCAAACTCTTTTCTATTGCCAATGTCGTAAGTTTTATGGGACATACACCAGTCTGCCCTGGTGTCGGGTCCAATGCTTTCACTCTTTGAACTTAAACTTGCTACTTCCAAGGGCTCTTCTGACTTTTCCTTGGTGGCTTGATCTGCTTGACTTATCAAAGGATTCGTCTTTGGGATGGGCTCAAGTATGCTGTCAAACACCACTTGTTCTACATTGGTGAAATTTGTTACACCTGCACTTCCTGTAAAGGGAGCTCCAAGAACTCCACGAATTGCTGAGTTCAAAATAAAGGTGATGTACGATTTTAAAAATTCTTCATATGATGGAAAATGCACTGTCAGGCTTTCATTAGCATCCTCTTGCTTTTCAAGGTACACTCGCAGAAGAGCTTGGGAAGGAGTGTCACGGACAGCCACGGAGCCTTCTTCAAACTCAGAAATCAATGCCGTGGGATGAGATGGGTCCTTTTTCGTCCTGGGGTGAACTCCATCATTAAAGATAAAACTCTCTGTATTGAATCAAGAAAGGGTCATTAGTTTCTATATGAGTACAGAACTTCTTTTATTAAATACTATAGGGGTTTTGTTTGCTTACCCCCCTCCCCCACCGCCAAATCTAACGGGTACTGACTTCAGAGACCAGTCTTAACAAAGATTCTGGCTCCATATTTGGAACCAGTAAGGGAAAACTTGGCCACAGGGATTCATTTTTGTCTTCCCTGAACATGGGTAGTTATGGTCCATGAGCCAAAATTTGAGTCCCCTGATACAGTGGATGTTAAAAACAAACAAACAAAAAACAACCAAGCTTCAAACAGGTTCTTCCCGGTTCAGTTATGACTGAGAAAGCAAAACCAGAACCGACCAGAATTTGTAAAATACAAGTGTGCCAGAATCCTAACCAGAACAGGAAAAATAACAGGTCATCGCCCTGCTTGAAACGGAATCTCTCTCTCAGAAAGCAGGGGCAGCAGACATACTGCATGGCGACCAGACCTCTGGAATGACAAGAGCAGAAACAACAGCGTCCCCTCAGAGCTGGCTGCCGTCCTCGACAAACAGCTCACTGCCATCCGGTCTTTCTCCCCTGGAGTTGGCTGGTGATTTCACACTGCTGGCCTAACTCAGAGCCACTACACCGCCAGGGTTCCTCAAGGCTCTGCGAGGCAGTAGTCCAGCGTCTCACTTAGACTCCTGAACGGGCTCCCTCAGCCTCTCTGGAGTCTTCCGTCCCAAAGCTTTGACCATCATTTTCCCCATTCTGATTAGCATTCCAGTACCCTCACATTTTGCAAATATGGATCCATTTTTATTGTGTCGTGTCAGTCATGACTGAAGCAGTTCAAACAGTTTGAAGCCCTGTCCAAAAGGCGCTGAGGCTGTGGGTGGGTGTTGTTGGGTCCCGTGTGATAGACGAGAATATTGCCCCATAGGGTTTCTAGGCTCTGATCGCTACGTGAGCAGGTGCCACGTCTTTCTCCCCGGGAGCTTCCTCAGGTGGTTTTGAACCACCAACCTTCCCTTTAGCAGCTGTGTACTTCACCATTTCACTCCCAGGGCTCCTTATATTATCAATATGATAGTTCACTTTTACAATGTAATATTTCAGGATGATATAAAATGTTGATACATTCTATGCCAAGTCTACTAAAGAATTCAACTTATGCATTAAGCAATTACATGGGATTTCAATGTTTCGTGTTATATGATCAAAGAAAATTGCCTACCATAGATTAATACCACAGAATTACAGCCAGTCTGAGCAAAAAAATTTTAATTTCCGATTTTATCAGAAAGGTCCGTTTCTATTATACATGCAACCTGGAACGTCATTTTCAAAGAGGCACAAATACAAATGGATATGTAGGCTTTTTAAAGGCATTTTAGCAAGGATTCTCTTGCAGAAATCAGGGAAATACTTGGCATCAGTGCTTCATGTCACATGGCAGACGCACCTCTGGGACAAAGTGGGGACAAAGCCTGTCTCCTCTTAGTGCTAAATCGTGGGCGGTGGAACGCAAACGCCTCCGTTGTTTTTGTATCTCACCCTCAGCGCTCATGTTCTCAGTGACCGGATGCTTTCAAGTAGCAGTGGGCTGACGGTACTGAAAATAAGTGTGTCCAACTTCCCCAATATTGAGAGGACGGACTTTGGTGAACTAGGAAACATCCTGGTCACACACACACACACACACACACACACTCCGGCCGGCAGAGCTGACGGTTGGATACGGCTGAGTGTAGAGCTGGCCTGGCTACAGACTGTCCCCCTGCCATCTCTCTTTCCCCAGATGGGCTCGACTGCGCTCAAATGTTCTGCGTGGTGACTGGGGGAAGAGCCGGAACCTAGCACGCCAGCTCTTTGCCATGTCGAGATTGCAATGCCAGAGAGCCCAAATTAGTTTCCCCTAGAGGTTCTCAACAGGAGACTGCGGTGCACTGGGCTACGTGTTGGGCACTGACCACGGGGAACACCAGCAGCCGCTCCTCCAGAGAATGACGGGACTTTCTACTCCTGTAAAGATGACAGGCTCAGACACTACATGGGGCAATTCCACTCTGTGCTAGAGGGTGACTCTGAACCGGAACTGACCAGATGGCCGTTAGTCAGGGGTTATCGATGGTTCACACTCTGTCCAAGGATTAACTCAGAACTGTTAGCAAACCACCACGTTCCTCTTCTGAATCACATCTTGAGTTTTCTTTCTCTAGAAATTATCTTACCAAATTATCATATGGTAAGAAATAGGGCCCCCACTTTATCCCAAAGGGTCAAAAATAAAACTTGTAAATGTGGCAGGAACTAAAGGCAAGACAAGCATTCACTGACTACTTAAAGCAAGATCCGCGGTTCAAACCCACCAGCTGCTCTGCAAGAGAAAGACGAGGCTTTCTGCTCCCATAAAGGATTACAGCATTTGAAATACACAGAGACTGCTCCACTCTGTCCTGTAGGGTCGCTGAGTCAGAATCACCTTATTGGGCAGTGAGTTTGGTTTGAGAGTCTTATTAAGTGCCAGGCATTCGGCCATTACCTATATATTCATAATGTAGTATTCTAATTTTACAGGTTAAAAAAAAATTAAAGCTCTGAGCACAGTTGAGATCTAAATCCCTGGTCTTTTTATTCTATCAATTTGCTGCTCAAAACAGCAGAATGTAAAATAGAGGGATCATTTTCTCCCAACCCTTAAGTAATGCTATGAGAACCACAGCCTTACTGCAGGGCACTCCTGCAACCCAGCCTGTCCTCCTCTGCTTACCAGAAACGGAAGAGATAAGTGGTGGCTCCTCTCTGCTGTGTAATGAAAAGGTTGTTGATGTTTGCTGACTCTCCTTTGCCAATGTAAACCAATCTTTTGTTTGAGTATAGGAGGCCTAGGTAGAAAAGAGGACATTGGTTTAACATAGGAGTCCCAGTATGCTTCCCATCGCAAACCTGGACCGATCATTACAGTGACAGTAAAGTTAAGCAATGCAATGAGTAAAGGAGATATTATTCCTTGGGACAGTTTTCTGATGGTTAAGCTACTTTTAGCAGACAGTGGTTATTTGGTGGTAGGATTTTTCCCTTCCCTATGAAAGACCCAGTTCTGTTCCCAGCCAATGCACCACTCCGTAGTTCCACCACTGTTCAGTCAGTAGAAGGTTGCACACTGCTATGATGCTGAACTTTCCGGTAGAGCTTCCAGACTAACCGACTAGAAAGAAAGGCCTGACAATCTACTTCCAAAGAAACACCCTCCAGACCACACAGGTCTGCTCTTCGAGCAATCAGGGGAATGGGGCAGGACTGAGAAGAGTTGTGTGCCATCAGAGCTGAGGTGGTCACGACTCAGAATCAGTGCATCAAAAAGAATTGGTCCGCGCTCCACCAATTCAAGAGGCAGCACACGATCGAGAACTGATGGTGTTAAAGGAAGAAATCCAAGCTGTATTGAAAGTCTGAGTGAAAAACAAGACTCCGGGAATTGATGGATCATCAACTGAAATGTTTCCAAAATCTGCTGCAGCACTCGAAGCACTCTCTGGACTATGCCAAGAAATATGGAAGACCAGGTCCTGGCCAACCAACTGGAGAAGATCCATAGTGTGCCATTGTGCCCATTCTAGAATGCGGCCAAACAGAATGTGGGAATTAGCAAACCATCTCATTAATATCCCTTGCAAGTAGGTGTTCTGCTGAAGGTAATTTTTAAATGGCTGCTGTGGTACATTGATAGGGGCTGCCAGCAATGCGAGATGATTGATGTGATTCCAGCACAACTGAAGCTGAGGTGGGGGTGGCACGAGGACCACTGTCACTGATGTCAGAGGGACACTGACAGGGAGCAAAAAGATACCAGTGTTTTATTGGCTATGCAAAGGCCAATAGCAATAGTGAATCATAGTAAACTATGTATGATGTTTGAAGAGCAGGAATTCCAGAACACACCATTGTACTTATTCAGAATCTGTATATTAAGGTGACCAGACATCCCGCTTTTGGTGGGACAGTCCTGATTTAAAATGTCCCGCGGCATTTTTTTAAAAGTCCCGATTTTTGGAACGAATGTACGACAAGCTAGGGAATGGTCTATTTGGTCCATATAGACCAAATTTTTAATCAAGAACACCCCCCACCCCACCCCTGGTCAATGGTGTCCCGCTTTACCAATGTTAAAATCTGGTCACCTTACTGTATATGGAGCAGGAGGCACGCATTCAAACAAAACAAGGGGACGCTGAATGGTTTGAAATCAGAAAAGCGGGGCACCATCCTGACCTTGTGCTAATGGCCTCCCTCAACTAGATGATGTGTCTGTGTCTTTGTGTTGTCTTTTTAGGCTTAATAAAATGTTCTCCTAAAATTATTTTTTTAAAGAAATAAAATTTGGCAAAGTGTGAGCCAAGGTTGTAGCCTTTCACCTAATTTATACAATCTGTATGATAACCAGAAATCAGAGAACCTGGATTGTATGGAGAACATGGCGTGGGAGTTGGAGGAAGGCTTATTAACAACCTTCCATACACAGATAACGCAACCCTGCCTGCTGAAAGTAAGGGCCACTTGAGGCACTTGCTGAAGAAGATCAAAGATGGCAGCCTTCGGGATAGATTGCAACTCAATGTAAAGAAACCAAAAATCCTCACATCTGGATCAATAGGCAGCATCATGATGGAAGCTGCCAAGAATTCCATCTACTTGGATTCACACTCAACACTGTTGGAAGCAGGAGTCATGGAACAACACAAGGATAAAGTGCACAGACGTCACTCTGAGGGCTAAGGTGTGCCTGACCCAAGCCATGGTGTTTCCAATCACTTCATGTTCATGTGTAACCTGGACCATGAATAACGCAGGCTAGAGAAAATTTGGTGCACTTTAATCATGGTTTTGGCAATCATTGACTATTGAAAGTACCATGGACTTCCAGAAGAAGAAATGGATCTGTCTTGGAGGAAGTAAAACACAGCCAAAGTGTTCCTGAACAGAAAGGATGATGAGACTTTGTCTCGCATACTTTGGACATGTTATTAGGAGAGACCAGGTCCTGGAAAAGGGATCATGCTTGGTAATGTGGAATGACAGTTAAAAAGAGGAAGACCCTCAATTGGACGGATCGACACAGCGGCTGCATCAACGGCTCAGAAACAGCCACAGTTTCTCCCTGCACGAGGGTGGCTGTCGATCAGAACCGACTCAGTGGCACTAACAACATCCACTGCTGTGGTTTCAATAACGTAACGGCTTGAAGCTCTTTAAATCCTCAAACACCGAGCTGCAGAAAAGGGGATAACATAGAGTGAAATATACATATTATTAACTATAAATAGTCAAGTGAACAAAAATGAAATTTTCACCTCAGAAAATAGTAAGTAAACTAGTTTGATTTTACCCCCTTCCTTATATTTGATTACATTCACATGTAAGTAATCCTAACTTAATCCCTTAGATGGATTCCTCTAGTTCTTATTTTTGGGCCTCTATTATTAGGATGTATTTTTATGACATTCCTAACATTTCCATAAGAAAAAAAAACTTAAAAATAAGTATAAGGGGAAAAAATGTGCCTTATTCTGTGGAAATAATGGAGTTAGTGTTCCTTTTAAGCACGGTGTCCAATTATTACTGGGGAAAAAGCTAAATTAAATATGAGCTAAAGATGAAAAAAAAAATTCAGGCCAAGATAGCCTGAGTCTATCCATTCCAACAGAGATGGCAAATAAACCTCCTCTTACGTGCCACCCTTGATCAATTGGAAGTGCCTGCCAAGAGTACTGTGTTGAAAAGAAGTTGAAGCCAAACCCTAGCTCAGCAGGAAAGCTGCTACGATTAATTAGCAACGTCTGTCGAGGATAGAAAGGAAGAGAGGAGAGGCACATGGGCCACGTATTTGTTGTTCCGCACGGTGAGGAAGAGCCCACCGTCTGTCCTTAGAGAACCGTGTGCCAAGTGTGTGCACCCAGAGGCAGCATCTGAAAATTAGAGACCAAAGATCAAATAGCAAGTCTCACTATACCTTGATTCTCCCAAAGGTGCATATGATTCTAAGTGAAGTCTTTTAAAATAAATAGAGAATGCCCAACATGTCTCTAATCATGGAGCATACGAGTATCTTAGACTAGTAGTTAAACTAAACGTATTTCACTCCTGAGGAAAAGCACAGCCAATAGTTAAGACTCCATTTACCACC